AAGGATTGTGTTTTGTGCTTTTATTTTTCTCCCCAATCCTTAGGACAGTCCTTGGCACACAGGCAGAAGCACCAAAGAAAGGGTTATTGATTCTTCAACTTATTAATTAAAACCACATGTATATTATTGTGATGCAGAAAAATCTTTTGAGAAAATACAGTTGTCATTCTTTGTTAAAAATATGAAAATGGGTAGGAATAAGTGGATTTGCGGTCACTTCAGCAGTACATATGCTAAAAGAAAGGAATAAATAGACTTTCCCCTAGTATGATAAATAGTATCTGTCTGAAATCAAGAGCCAGCATTATATGTAACAGGGATAAAGCAGACGCCTTTCCATTAAGATCAGGGCATAAAGCAAGGATGTCCATTATCACCACCATTATTTGATATAATATTAAAAATGTTAGCTCTAACAATACAACAAGAAAAAAAAAGAAATTGAAGGAATAATCACAGGCAAAGAGTAAACAAAATTTTTGCTTTTTGTCAATGTATGATAATTTACTGAGAGAATCCGAGAAAGAAAAATAACATTAATTTAAATAAATTCAGCAAAATAGCAGGATAGAAAATAAACTCACAAAATTATTAGCATTTCTGTATATTACTAACAAAGTGTGAAAGGGAGGAGAGAGATAGACATATTCTATACCAAATAAATACGTAGTGTTTAAAATACTTGTGAGTCTATTTGCCACAACTATATTAAGGCAACCACACAACACTCTTTACAGAAATGAAGGCATGTGTAAACAACTGTTGAGATATTATTTACTCATGATCAGGCTGTGCCAATCTAGTATAAAGGATAATATTACCTGAAGTGGTTTTTTTTAAAATTTATTCAGTACCATTGCAATCAGAATTATATAAGAATATACACAAGGAAAAAAATTAAAGTTTGAAAAAAAACAAAAAAATAAGTAAACAATTCACACAGAAGAACAAAAGGTCAAGAATCTCAAAGGCAATAATGAAAACAAAAAAAGTCTAGGTGAAGAAGACCCGGCAATACCACATCTTAAACTATACTGCAAACAATAAACATTCAAGTGATTTGGTGCTGAGTGTCAAGTAGAGAAGTAGATCAGTGCAGCAGACATGTCCCACCATCCAAAGTGGATGGTCAGGTAGCGTTGGGCAGCATCCAGCATGCAGACTCTGGGGAAACAACTCCCCATGGGACAAAATGTACTGGGGAAAACGGGAAAGCAGTCAGGCAGAAATTAGATACAAATCAATATCTGACTGACACGTGGTTTAGATAAAAATGGTGTTAGTCCTATCACAACTGTGGATAAGATTAGAGTTCTTGACCAAACAGTGGATGAAGAGGATCATAGAAAGTTAAAAGAAAAATGATTACACAAAATTGAAAAGATTTTGAAAAATCAAAATAAATACAGTTAAAAGAGGAAGTAAAATAGTAAACTAGGGGGAAACATCCAAAAGCCTTTACAGCAAATTTTATTGATCAAGGTCTAATATTATATATACACATATCTCATTCAAATATATAAGAATTCCCTGGTCAAAGGATAATGATGATAATAATGATCATTTAAAAGAAACAATATTTATGTAGTGTTTTGAGGTTTGCAAAGCACTTTACATATGTGGATAGGTAATTTTCTCCTTTTAAAAAATCCTGAACTTAATAAACATTAAAGAACTAGTCAAACAGAAAAGAGTTGTGCACATAGCTGAGAATCTCTTTTGTGAAGTATTTTTTTTCTTTTCAATATATAATAAATTCTCTATGTCATTCTCAAAGTTTCCTTACTTGTTTGTGCTCATTTCTTGCCTCCCTTTTATTCTATTTTATGAACTGAGGATACTTCAAAAACCCTTTTTTATCCTTTTTCTTTCTTTCTTTTTTTGGCTCTACTTTACATATCCTCCTTTATTTCTCACTTATACCCAAATTGAGTGTGGAGGAGGGAAAAAAAAAAGAGGGAAGAAAAAAAGAAAAACCCAAAACAATCCTTGGACTAGATGTACCTAATTTAACAAAATGAGTCACTACCTTTTAGCATGATTCCCTATCAGATTGGTTTCTTTATTAGAGTTCTTAAGGCTTTCAAATTGTTTTTCTTTGTAATATTGTTGTTTTGTAAATTTCATCTCTGATTCTGCTCACTTCACCCTGCATCAGCTCATTCAAATCTTCCCAATTTTTGTTTCCCCATGAAACTATTCCGTCTATAATTTCTTACAATGCAGCAATGTTCCTATTACATTCTTAAGTCATGAGAATCAAGGTATTGTTGGCTTAAGACGTATGCCCCATTTAGTAGCTTTGAGGGCATTGTTTTAAATTGCTTTCCAGGGGACTGTCTACCTTCACCAAATTTCCGTGGGCCTGTTTTGCCATAGCCCTTCCAGCAATTGTTGTCCCTCCCCTTCTCTCTCCCCCCACTTTTTTTTTTGTATGTTTTATTTTGCTTCGGTCATGTTTGCCAGCAGTCAACAAATATTTAGAAAAGATGTTCTAAATTACTGATAATTAGAGAGACAAATGATTTCAAATGAGGTTCCACCTCAAATGGATTAGATTGCCTTTGGTGGAAGATAGCAAGAAGTGTCTGTGCACCACATTGTCCTCTTTATGAGTGAAGGAGACAGGGCAGTGGGCTGAAGCTTCTGTTTTGTTGATGTTATAATAGAACAGTCTAACCCAGCCTGATTCTATCCATGGTTGTAAATGTCAGGAGCACTTGGGAAACTGACCTCGAGGGCTTGCTAACCCTGGGGCTGAGAGACTTCAGGGAAAGTGAGGATGAGTTAGGGATGCTGACAAAGCATGTATGGACTAATGTGTATGTTTGCATGCATATGTGTATATGTGTGTGTGTGTGTGTGTGTGTGCGCGCGTGATTTGGGGTGGGGAGAGATACTTTAATTTGCTTCATCAGTACATCACAGTGTGTCTTTTTTTTTTTAAGCTGAATGGTTCATGTGTCTTCAACACCTTCTTTAATCTTCCCCACCTCTTCCCTCTTGTCAAAGATCAGCAGTGCTTAATACTAAGATTAAAATCATTTTTCATAGATAAGTTTGCTTGCCACTGAGAAGCAGAGCTGCTAATTATCCCTGAACGTGTGAAGATACGTTTATTTGATGCAACATGGCCTGGTGTGCATTAATTATGTTACAAGTAGCCTTATGAACAAGGCAGGGAATCATCCTGACAAATGCTGTAGATTGCTGAGTCCCTGAAATCGCCCCCCCCCACATCGTTCTAATGCCCAGAGTAAATCAACATTCATTAGGCTTCCACTTTCTGTTGCTAAGTAACTGCTGGCCGAGGGAAGTTTGCAGCACAAATGAATAGGGACAGGTCCTCAAGAAGGGGGCATTGTGCTCAAAATGGAGAAGTCCCGTGGCTCCTCTCCTCTGCCTCTGGTAAGTCATATCTTAGCTGGGGCCACGACCGACCACTGAGTGGTGCAGACTCAAGGACAGCCAGTTGTACACATTACTTTCAAAACAGATGAATCAAAAATTAAAAAATAAAAATAAATGAATACCTAGTTAGGGGGGAGTGAGACTTGGGGGGCTGGAGAAACGCAGGAGTCCACCATCTTTCCTCAATCCGACATGGAAGCTACACTCAGAAAATTGTGTGTTTTGTGTATTTTCTTCCCCTCTCACCATTCATTGCAGGGGAGTGGGTGTAGGGGCAATGGAATCATTGGTGCCTTTGGAATCTGAGCTGGGCTTGGGCAATCTGATTCGGCGTTTCTCTGACCCTTCCTTTCCTTATCTGTTAAATGAGGGGGTGGGGTGGCTAGATGGCCTCCTAATGCCCCCACCAGCTCTACATGTGCGATCCTGGGAGAGGCTTAGTCTGTAATAGGAATGCTGATAATGATGATTAATGATGACAGCTAGCACGTAGCATACAGCACTCGATGTCTGGCAAAACATTAGATGTATATTAACTAATTGGATCCTCACAGCAACCCTGGGAGTTAGGTGCTATCATTATCCCCATTTTACAGATGAGGAAACTAAGGCTCAGAGAGAGTGAGAGACTTGTCCAGGGTCACACAGCCAGCCAATGTCTGAGGCAGGATTTGAACTCAGATTTTTCTGACACCAATGCTGCCCCCTATCCACTGAGGTCTCTTCCATCTTTATGATCCTCTCTGTGTGACCTTAGCCAAGTCACTTTACCCCTATGGACCTCAGTTTCCTCATCTGCCAAATGAGGGACTTAGAATAAATGGCTGTTCTCTCCCACTCTGGGTGCATGCTCCTAAGTGCCTATGAAAAATGCTGCATGTCCTGATAAGAGGGTCCATGCAGCATGACTGCAGCCTAATGCAGGGCCCGTAAACACTCCGTAAAGCTGCATTTCTACCCTTGTAATCATCATCTCATATTTATATTCTGCTCCCACTGAGAAGAATCTCTGGGTGCATTTACATATTGAATTGCTAAGTTAGAGCTAATGATAGGATCAATTAGGCCCCATACTGAGCATTGCAGTTTGGAATGACTTTGAGAAAAAGCAGGAGGGTCAAAAAAAAAAAAAAGGCAGCTGAGCCACCAGCACGCAGGTCCACGGCCATTTTGTGATTGTGCTAATAGCACACACACACACACACACACACACACACACGCACACACACGCACACAGGGATGCTGGCAACGGACGAGCCTTGGGCTTCCTGAAGGAGGCTGTTTTATCAGGGTGAAGAGGGAGACCCATTTTGAACACAGCTTTGATGAGCAGAGGGAGCTGGGGTTGGCACAGAGAATTATTCAGGGCTCTTTTCTGGTCAAATATCAAAGAGCAGTTATGGTATGAGCCTGTGGAAAATGCCTGGTCCTTTTGAAGAGGGCTGAGGGTGGGGGGGGTGCTTGTTCATATTTGGCAGCTTCAGCTGGGGGGCCTTGGCTGTCTCAGTTTTGATGCTCCCGGCTCTACTTGCTGAGGTGGGTTGCAGAATTCTGTATCTGCTCTTTTTTTTCTCTCCCTCCTCCTGCAGCTCCATAATAAATGTGCCTCTCACCTCAAACCCGAGTGCGACTGTGGAACCTTGAGGGACCATATCTTACCACCCACAGCAATCTGCCCAGTGGTGCTGGTGAGTGCTTCCTTTTCCTCCTCCTCCTCTAGTTCTCGCCGTGGGCCGGCTGGGCCAGCCTTCCATACGTGCTGCTGGACAGAAGATACTTCTCAGTCAAGGCAGAACACCGTAGGTTGGCGTCGTCTGGGGATGCAGAGGCAGGGGCACGGAGAGGCGAAGCCCACAGCCACAGCGCGGGTCCGTCGCCCTTCTTTGCTTTTGGCTGTGAAATTGGAATAGGGGATGGGGTGGCTGAGCTGAGCCAGGTTTGATGCCTTCACTGGGTTGCAGTTACCAGAAATGTTTCAGGCAGCACTCCGGTGCATTGTAAATCTTTGACAGACCCAGCTTCCCAGAAGTGTGAAGCAAGCCTTCTGGGCAATCAGGCTGGGGGTGATATTGTCTCCCCCAGGCAAGGCCGAGGTCTCTGCTCCAAGTCAGAAGTTGCTCAGAAGGATGGCAGGGCTTGGGAGGGAGTGATGCAATGCCCTCATGGGTGGGGTCTTTTCAGGAGAATGGGGCAGTAAATTTTCACCCATAGTAAAGCAATTACTCTGGTCAATGGAAATGAAAGGGCCATTGGATAGAGTGGCCAGGTCCGCAGAAAGGAGAGAACCATTTGCCTAGACAAGAGAAAGAAAGTGAGAGCCAACATCCAGCTTCAATGCAAAGGGACAGAATTCTTCTTTTAATCTCCATGGATTTTATATCCGGCCTCCAATCGATGCTCAGTCTGGCCGTGTCCCAATAGGCCAAGTCCCACAAGCTGAAGTAGATGACCTGTGCTTTGCAGAGCCAGGAAAGGTGAGGTGTGGTAGGCCGCACCTTGGCACAGCATCAGGCCTGGAGCCGGGAGCGGAGTCCCTGAGAGGCACGCCCTCCATTTGGTGAGGGAGGCCAAGGGAAGGACAGCCAGGCTACAGAGGTTTCTTCTCCCTTGGGCTGTGCCATACCTCCTTCCCAGGAACTGCCCGAGCATCTCGGGATGAGCAGGATTCCTCTCCAGAGGCTGGTGGAGGCCCAGCCTCCAGACTTGTGTTTTCAATGGCTTTGTTTGAGTCTGCAAGTCTACTACATGTGGGCCAGGAGGGCTTTCTTGTCATTACATGTTTTCTATCAGTCATCTTAAAATGTGTTCTTTCCTATGTTTTCCTATCCCTCAAAGTTACAGCATTATATAGCATGCCTTTATAAAAAAAGTCTTTCCCTCCGGAATATTTACACCTTTTAGATGTGTGTGAAAAGTCATCATGTCCTTGTATTTGTTACTTGTACTGTCATCTAAAAATCCTATCTATATTTATAGATATATTGTGTGTTTGTGTACATAGATCTGCGTATGTATATATGTATACATTCATACACACGTGTGTGTGTGTGTGTGTGTATATATATATAAAATTCAACATTTCAATATACTGGCCAGGTGATGCAATAGATAGAGGGAGCTCTGGATGGGGCATCAAGAATCTTGCCTCAGATACTTAATAGCTGAGTAACCCTTGGAGAGTCACTCAAGGGCTCTGTGCCTCAGTTTCCTTATCTGCAAAATGGGGGACTTAGAGTTAATGGTGTCTGAGACCCCTTCTGGGTCTGAATCTCTGATCCTGTGAGCCTTGTCTGAAATCTTGATGCTCATGAACATGCCAGGACTTTGGGGTGAGGGTGATAAGCCTCCACTCTTCTCCTTCAGGTTCACTCTTGGCCTAGAAACCTCATTCTGATCCTCTCTTTGGCAAATGCTGCTAATCCAAGTTGAAGCAAATGAAACAACTGCTTTAAAACAAACCAAAAAAAAAACAAAAACAAGAAAGATTTACATAGCTTATTGCATTTGTGATGAAAAACCTCTGCCATCATCCCAGAGGGACACCACTGCTCACCACTTTTTCTTCCTTCATTCCTCATCCCCATGCCACTTTTTGCCAACACCAGCATCTGCCTTTGCAGCGCCCCTTACTCTCTTCCTTCCATTCTGGGGTTCGTTTCACTGATTTCTTGACATCAATTCCGTCTCCCACAGGCTATGCCTTGAAAGTCTGTGCCTTGGCCCATTTGTCTTTGCATGGCTGAGGAATCATGCCAGAGCCTGTGATTTTGCTGTTACCAAAATGGCTTGGGAATCCAAAGACAAAAACCACATCGGGATCGATCTTGTCATCTTGGCCAGTGTTTGGTGAATTTCCGTTTTGGGGCGGTGGCCCTCCCAGGATGATGGACATCTATAACCATCTCTTTACATTGAGAAAGTCTCTTTGGAATAGTCTTCCTGGCTGTGCTGCTCATCACAGTGTCCTTGGGGGGAAGGGGGCTATCTCTTCAAGAAGTGTGGAGGGGGAAATAAACAAAAAAGCCTTTTCACACTTTTTTTTCTTGGATAAAATGGGGGACACTGGTCAAATCACAATTTCTCAGTACTCTAAGCCATTTTTCTGAAATAGAATGTGTCAGGGAGCTGAGGAATCTGTATGCTCTGCAGCAGATGCTACTTCAGGTGCTCTTAACCTGGACGCCAAGAATATTTTTTTTTATTTTGATAACTATGTCATTATATTTCGTTTCATTTGTAATCCTATGTGTTTTATGCTATACCTTTAACAACATTTTTTGCTAAGAAGAGGTCCCTAGGCTACCCCAGAACACCAAAGGGCTCCAGGACATGGAAATGGTTAACAATACCTGCCCTAGTATAAAAGGAATTTCACTGGATCACAGAACTCAGAGGTAGAGGGGACTTCATTGACCAAGTAGTCTATGCCGCATTTGACTAAGGACCTTTTCTACAATATCTCTGACCGCTGGCCATCCAGCTTTTCCTTGAAGACCTTCAAACTCTCCACCCCTCAGTTCTTTCCCAGGTCATTACCCCCGTTTTTTCTATACTCTCTTCCCCTTCGCCATCTTGACTTCATTGGCCTGGGGAATCAGATCAGCTCTATACTAACCTTTTCTCCAGAGTGACTTGACTCCTTATCTTTTCAAAAATCATACCCTTCCAAACAAGAGCCTAGGAATATACCTAACACATAATTACAAAAACATACTGGTTGTGTCCACTATAAATTTATGTTATGTAAGCCAAATGGGCCCACACCATGCAAGACAATCTTTTTATACCTCCCTGGTCAGTCCGTTATCCCACTCAAATAGCAAAATAATGGTTTTAAAGTTCTTAGGACAGTGCCTGGCATGTAGTAGGTATTTAACAAATGATTATTCCTTTTCCATTTCCTTCCCACTCACCAAAGAGGTTTTCCAAACTTTTTTTTTTAAGTACTCTTCTAACCTTCCATGGCTCCCCCTCCCGTCATCCACTCAGCTGAAAACTTTGTCTCATGTTTCACTGAAAGAATTCAAGATATTCACTGAGATCTCTCTCTTCTTCCCTCTTACTAAACTCACATCACCCATATCCCTTTCCCTACTTTCTCCACCCCTATCTCCCATGAAGAGATGGTCCTTCTTCCTGTGAGCACTAACCTCTCTACACAAAGAAGTGATTCCCTCCCATCGTATCCTCTCTGGCCATTGATTCCCTCTGTTATCCCCACCCTCTCACGCATCTTTGGTCTCTTCTGGTCCCCTGGCTCTTTCATCTGTAGTTGCTCAATCTGTAGACTTTTCTCTGCTTGTCCTTCTTGATCTCTCTGCAGCCTTTGGTACAGCTGATCACTCTTCTGTTCAATACTCTTTTTTTTTGTTTTGGTGAGGCAATTGGGGTTAAGTGACTTGCCCAGAGTCACACAGCTAGCGAGTATCATGTGTCTGAGGCCAGATACTCTCTTCTTTCTAGGCTTTCATGAGGCCAATTTCTCCTTGTTTTCTTCCTACCTGCCTGATCCTTCTTTCTCAGTATCCCGTGTGGGTCGCCATTCTGGACCACACCCACTGGTCATGGATGTCTTCCAGGATGCTACTCTGAGTTCTCTTCTCTTCTTCCACTATTTTTCTTGGTGATCTCATCAGCTCCCATGGATTCAATTATCATCACTTTGCAGGTGTTTTTCACATCTATTTATCCAAACCTGCCTTCTCTAATAATCTTGAATCATATCTCAAACTGCTTATGGGATATCTTCAACTGGATGTTCTAGACACGTCTTAAACTCTACATCTCCAAAACCAAACTGATTATCCTTTCTCCAAAATCTCCCCTTTTCCTAACTTCCCTATTACTCTCAAGGCTTCTAGCACCTTCTCAGTGATCCAGACCCTCAATGTAGGGGTCATCCTTAACGCCTCACTTTCTTGTCCCAATCATTTGCCAAGTCCTGTTAATTCTGCTTTCCTGATATCTCGTATACATCCCACTTTTGCCTTTTCTTCTTCGAGTCTGCCACCACTCTGGTGTCCACCTTCATCATTTCAACTATTGCAATAGATGATAATCTCCTTGTTTCAAGTTTCTCCTCAATCTACTTCCTCCTTCACTCAGCTGTCAAACTGATATTCCTAAAAGGCAAGTTATTGTCACCCCCATATTCAAGAAAGGTGAGAGGCTCTAGAATCAAAGCTAACATCTTTTACTTGGCTTTTAAAGACCTGCATCACCTGGCCCTTTAATACCTTTACAATCTTTATACACTAATGACCTCCCCACGTACGCAGCCATCTGTTTCCGACGGCTTCCTTGCTGTATCTTGAGCAAGATACTCCATCTCCCAACTCTAGGCGTTTTCACTGGCTGTCCTCCATTCCTGAACTCCCTCCTCATCTATACCTGCTGGCTTCCCTGGGTTCCTTCATGTCTCAGGTAAATCCCACTTCCTCCTGGAAGCCTTTTCTGATCCCCCTTATGAAAATGACTTCCCCCTCTTATTTCTAGTTTATCCAGCTACGGCTTGTTTGTTCATAGCTGTTTGCACGTTGTCTCCCCCGTCAGACTGTGAGCTCCTTGAAGGCAGAGACTTTCATGCTGTTGCTTGTTTTACTTTCTTTGTATGCCCAGTCCTAGTACAGTGCTTCACACGTTAGATGCTTCAGAAATGCTTGTGGACCTGACCAAGTCCAGACAGCCT